GGAAATGTATCTGGGATACTGTCCGTATAATGTAATCCGCATTGAAATTTTTTTCGCAATATTTTCATAATTTACTCGATGAAAAATGTACTACACAACAACAAAACAAAACAAAGCACGACAAAGAAATTCATAAAATAGTCGATAATTACATTATTCCGCTAATACCTTGAACGTGGAGTAGTAAAGCATTATTAAAGCTCCGCTTACAACATTAATCAATGCTACGTCAATCTATTTTTCAAGATAAAAGGCTCTCTCTCTTTCTGAATAAATGAAAGTTTATGCAAGTTTAATCAAGAGGACTTTTTAAATGGAAGTAATTAATAGCTTTCTGCTATAACACACTCTGTAAAATCAATTAGGTTTTAAGGGCAAAATGTCAAATGATATTTAGTCCGCGATGTGGGCGCGGTGCTGCACTCAGTCTCTTGCAAACGAAATGTTCGTCATTGCAGCGGAAAAGCTCTCTCTCTCTCTCTCTCTCTCTCTCTCTCTCTCTCTCTCTCTCTNTCTCTCTCTCTCTCTCTCTCTCTCTCTCTCTCTCTCTCTCTCTCTCTCTCTCTCTCTCTCTCTCTCTCTCTCTCTCCAGGGTCTAGTTTTTATCGAAAATTTTCGAGTACATATCAGTTTATGAAATTGCACTTTTTTATCCGCGCTGTAATAAACTCAACAGCTCGTCGAGCTCTCTCCGCTATATATTTCTCTTCCGTATATTTTAGAGGACTTTATGTATAGATGATGTAATAAAAAAAAAAAGAAAGAAAGAAAATTTTATCGGGGTCTATGCTAGATTGATGCTCTCTCTCTAGGCTTTTCTATATCGAGTTAGAAATAATCAAAAAAATGTACTGTGACTGGTGCCGCGAAGCGAGGCGCGGCGCGTTCTCTTGAAAAGATTGAAAAATCGGGTTCAAGTTTGCCGAAATAAAGCACGATGTCGCAGTAGCAGTAGCAGTGGCGGAAAAACTAAAAACCAAATAGCATTCCATGAATTTATGGCTCGGCGTATAGCTCTTCGCCTGTAGCAGCAGTAGCAGCAGAACGAAGGAAACTTTGATAAATTCGAAACCAAGTATCGCATTGAAATAACTTTTCCTGACGCGCGGGTATACACACATACACCACCTCTTCGTAGCACAAAAATATATACATGAGCTCCTCTCTTTTTTGCTCTCCTCTTTTCTCTTCTCACTTGCAAAATTATATTGCCGAGTTTCTCGGAATCAAAGCGCGAAAAAAACTTTAAAACGATATATAACTCCCGCGCCCGGAAAATTGCAGTAGGATTATTTTTAAGCTCCTCCGTGCGCGCGTTTTCCCTCGATCGTTGGGGTATAGGTGGTGCACGGCCGAGCAGAGTAGAGAGATAGATGTATAATAGAAAAAAGAAGCGGAAAAGTATCCGTATAAAAAAAAAATTTCTCTCTCTTCCCGCACTGACGCACGACGATCCGTGTGTGTGTGTGTGCGCGCAGAGAACCAAAGTCGTCGTCGTTGTCGTCGGGGGGGTCGAATCGTTATAAAATGAAAATCGAGAGCACCGACAAAACTGACGTGGGTCGGGCGAGAGCGAGAAGAGAGAAAATCTAACAATGTCCACGCGAAAAGAGAAGAAGATCGTGTCGGAGAATCCGCTGCTGCATATAATATAACCTTTAAAACTTCTCAGACGCGTACGCGCGCAATCGCGCGAAAATCTTTCTTCCCCCAAGAGAGATTCAGGCAAGCCAGGCATCTCTCTATAGGTCAATTTTCACGGTGCGGAAAAAGACTCGAATAGTCGTCGTCGCGCAAGCACAGATCGATGTCGCTCGCTCGCTCGCGCGCGCTCGCGTTTATGCCACTGCCACTCAAGGAAACACACATAATATAGATATATATCTTTAACGCGTACCAAGTTCAGCGAAGAGGAGAAAAGAGTATTATCAGACAGCGGCAGTAACGCGTTGCGCTGCGTAGCCTTTAGCTGTCTGGTAAAATTTGAAGCGGCTTAAAGGCATGACAAACGTTTATGAATAAAAGACAGAGAGGGTGAGAGACGCGCCAGACTGCACATCGAGCGGAGCGATCTGCTTGTATTATTTTCTCGATAAAAGACGGTAAGGCAGAGAGAGAGAGAGAGAGAGAGAGCGGCAGTGTTACAATTAGCGATACATTATCGATTTCGTAAGCTCGGCTTGGCTCCGCGAACGAACGAGGATAGGAATTTATAATTATATATTTTTAATTTAGACCTGCGTTTCTCGCTCGCACGCTTTAATCGCCAAGTTATTTAATTAATAGCCAAAGCGCAGCAGCTAACACATATGTATGTGCCAGACGCGAGAATTCAATTGTTGAGCTCGTAAATAGCTCACTCTCGCGAGCGAACGAGAGAGGCTGACCAAAGTGAGAGAGAGAGAGAGACCATTCGAAACACTTATGTGCGAAAATCGAACGTCGTCTTACTGCTGCTGCAGCGATAAATTCGCTGCAATTCGATCTCCGCTTGGCGGAACAAAGAGAAAATAATAAGAGAGAGACAGACAGACAGAGAAGAACGGAAAGTCGCTCGACATTTTCGGAGGGCAAATTGTCACGGACTCGCGCTTGAGAAAATACATATAATAAATGCAGCAGCAGGCAGCATAGCATATATAGATACGTAGAGTAGCTGTGGACAAAGAAAATTGGTTTCCATTCTAATCGTCGGGCACTCGAGACCTTGAATCGGTCGAGCTGCTGCAGCAGCATATGGAAAGCTGCAGTCGCTTGCCTGTGAACTACTGCCTGCGTTTATACGCGACCTGCACACGCACGCGGAACTAAAGCGAACTGTGCGTCGATATAGAGCGTTGTGAGCGTTGCGTGCGTAGTCTAATGCGTGTGTGTGTGTGTGTGTGAGTATATACGTGCCTGCATGTCATGAAAATGACGAAATCTAATTACGCTTCGGCATCAGGTTATGCTACGCGAGCTTTTAGAGTGCATATTGTGCGGTTATAATTCTCTTGAAAATCATGTTCAGCTCGTATATGTATTCACATCTCCTTCTCGAAAGCTCGCGGATCAATTTATAATCTCTTTCTATCTCTCTTTCTCTCTCTATCTGGCGAGCTTTTACGGTGCGCCATGCAGGACACTATACTCTTCAAACTGACCCTCTTGTTCTAAACACGTACGACAATTTTTTTAATCCCAAAAACTATGCAACATCACCCTATGCAATAATACGTTCTTTGAATAGCCAAAGCTGTTATCCTTCGCTTTAGATAGAGAGTCTTACCTATATAATACAAAGCCGCATTGCAGCCCCAGAGAGAGAGAGAGAGACTATACGGAATATACGTATCATATCGATCAATCGGGAGCGCGTCGGAGCTGCAGTGTTGGGCTGCTGCTATGCGCGCGTTATCGTGTATCGAAATTCATACCCAGCAGCAACAGCAGCGACGGCATGTAACCGCCCCGCTGCCGCCGCCACCGACACGAGTATCATCGACGAGTTGACTTATATGTATGGCAATTCCACGTCTATCCTCATTAATTCCAGCTATAGGAGCATCAATAATCTTTGGCCCTCCCTCCCTCTCTCTCTCTCCTCTCCCCCCCCCCCCCCCCCCCCCCCCCCCCCNCCCCCCCCCCCCCCCCCCCCTGCCCATCGCCGCTTTACCTATCTCTCGTGATTGCATTATCTGTACTACGACACGGCCGAAATCACACGTAATACTGTATACCATGTGTATTTGCAAGCTCAGCTGGCCCGAATTTATTAATTCTCTTTTAAATATATTATATTAACGATGTGAACGTATTATGTTGTATATTTATCAAAGTTGCTCACGTGTGCGCGCGCGCGATCGACGCCCGCAAGTGTATAATATACACAATACGTCGGGAAAGAGAGAAAGGCTCGGTGAGGCAGGCGCGAGAAATTTTTCGCGTGCGCCCAATAATGTACGTATAGTAGTAGTAGTAGTAGTAGTAGTAGTACGACTTGAATTATGTAGGCGCGGCCCCGCGTGCGAACTCTCGGGCGCACAGAAAATGTCGATCATACACGTGTGCGAATATAATATAATACGTGTAGGTATATGAGCTTTTTCGCGTATAAATTTACGCTGCTGTGCTAGCTGCGATATTTCGAGTCGGAGATTTTCACGTTTCGAATTCGGGTTAATATAAATGGGTTATGGGTCAAACGCGCTCTGCGAGGTGAACTGAATTTTTAAATTAAATAATTTTTCGTTTGGTTTTGCTCTCTGTACAGGGAGGCGAATTCGATCACAAAAAACAATATCAGCGGAGAGAGTGATGTAATAAGGTGGTGTACATATTCTATATATAGCGACGGCGGCGGCCTATTTGTGAGATCGTATGGAAGATGACTCGTAAGAGAAGAGAAAAAACAAAAAAAGGAAAAAAAAAAGAAAAGAAAGAAAGAGACCGAGAGAAACCCATCCCTCTTTCAACAAGGGATGAGCCTCGTACACAACTGTAGGTTTTTTCGTGGCCGGTTCATTCCGGTTTTAGCCTAAGGGTGGTGGTACAAGAGAGAGAACGAACCAGGGGGGTCTTAACGTTCGTTCGTTCGTCCGCGCAGGTGACCCGTAAACAGCAGATAGTGATTTGCCGCTGCCGCTGCTGCAGGAGCACATGCTAAAAACGGAAAAAAGAGCTGCCGCTGCTGTTGCTGCTAGCCGTGTTTGTGCCATACTACTGCAACGGATTTTTTGCGTCGAGCTCTGAAAATAACTCGCTGCACTCGCGCGCGAACAGGGGTTTGTTGCACGACCACATCAAAAAACAACAGCAAACTTGTGTATGATTTTTTACTGCTTTTCGCGTACACGTAGCTTTTGCTGTCCAGCTGTTTGTTTGGGAAAAATTGCGTTTCACCATCAATGCGAATCATTAAACTTTCGCACGAGCTTTTGCTCCTCTACGTCGCGCGCGTGAAAATCTCAATGCCGCGCACTATATAATCAAGAGTAAAAAATTTTTCCTCTTTATCTTACCTTGCCCTGCATAATGAGGCGGATCGTCAAGGTGACGGATGGATCGTCATTGAGCACCGGTTTATTGTTATCCATGCTGTCCATTATTGCTGTTGTGTCGTCTGAAGCACCGTTGTCGCAGCTGCGAAATTTACTTTCCCGGGGATCGACGATGATTCGTCCCTCTTCCGATTCCTGAGTGCTCTGACTGGTTATAGACGAGCACGAGGACGATAGCGATGACGACGAGTCGTTAGCTCTGCTGCTTCTGTACCTGTTGTAGTTGTTGCTGTTCTTGTGATAACTGAAACAATGACGGAGAGGAAAAAAAAAATTAGCCAAGTCGTATACTTTTAATTTATACAACGCGGATATACAATTTCAAAGCGCATATATCCTTAAAAACTCTTATAAGTATTCATCGTGTACAGCTCCATGAGAACCAGCGCTGTATGTATCTACCTAGAATGCATTTAACGGTGTAAATACATTCCTCTCTGCCTGTCTAGCTGCGCGGGTATCTCCTCGCGCTAATCGCTTTTTCCGCGAATAGATTAAGACGAATTTCTTAAATGGATGCTGCCGCTGCAATGCAATTGGCGTTATTATATATACAACAAGTATAAGCTCGTCGTAGTCGTCGTCGTAGTCGTCGCCCGGTCTCGAGCTAGCTAGCTACTGCTGCAACAGCATCTACAGTAGCAGCCGAGTGTAAAATCAACGCGAGCAGCGCTCAGAGATTAAGAAATCTTTTAATTAGAGCTTTCGGGTCAGTAACTAATAAAACTAGTTTTCGACGCGGCACGACGGTGCAGCAGTTCGCGTCATCTGTATATAGGCAATATGGCAGCAGCTCGTCGTGTATGTAGGCACTTATACACAGAGGTATCCACGCCCCAACCTACACCTTCAAATCAGATTTAAGCAAGCGATCTGTTATATACGTATGATAGTTGTTGCGCCGGGCTGCAATTATTTAACGATCGCGTAACAATTTCGCTGTGCCTGCGCGCAACGCGTCTGTGTGTGCTTATAATCGGGAGTATAAGAGGGCCTGTACAGCAGAGAGAGAGAGAGAAAAGAGTAGAGCTGCATAATAGATTCGACCGCGCGCGCGAGTATATTAGTTACGTACGTGTGTGTGCCTATAAACGCTCTGCAAACTCTCGCGTTAAGAATTCATAAAATGCTACTTTCGATGCGAATATAGTTGCGTAACACAACGCGCACACAGCTGTGTGTGTCTGTCTAAACGCGTGTAGCATTTTTGTTTTTTTTTTGCTTTTCGTTTTTTTTTTTTTTTTCACAAAAGCCAATCGCGCTGAATGTATACGTATGCACGTTTATCGCACGCGTGCGCGGCGCATGTATGTATTATATCGTTTTATATTTGCAAAACCGATGTTGATCGAGTTCGAAGCGGAGACGCGCGCCGCGTCCAAGGGGTCAAAATGTGCCACGCTGCGATAAGCAACTTCTAATCGAGTGTGTTATAATACCCGGCGAAGCGAGCGATAAAAAATCCCGCTCATTTACTCCTTTCTCGTGCAGAGAGAGAGAGAGGGTCAACGGACAATAAAAAAGAAGCACCCACCGCAAGCCTGTGTGTGTGTGTGTGTGTGTGTGTGTGTGGAGGGGGGGGGGGGAGAAAATAGCTGTGCCACCACCACCTAATACCATACGTATAAGCACGCGTGTAACAATAGATTTAAAAGAGGATAGGAAAAAAAATGTAAAAAGAGCACGAGAAGATGTACTGTAAGCTCGCTACCTACTGTACCACCTTAATGGTGCAAGGAAGCTAATAGGGCTTTGCGCCGAGCACGAGGCACACGAATATCACTACTGTACTCGTTTCTCTCTCGTTCTCGCTCCCTCTGCCTGCTCTCGAGCTTTAACCGTTTTCGCATTCCGCCGCGTCATTTTTCAACTCGATAATGCTAATTGAGCTGAGCGCGGCGCGTACTGCACTATCTCTCCAGCGCTTATAATTCGTATGTACGTAATATACAGCGAGTTCGCGTTCGTGCGTTGTGCTGCGCGCGATGCGACAACGACGTGCATCGCCGCGTAGCTGTTAATTGTTGGCAATTCGCGTACACAGATACGCGCACATATATACGCGTGTTTACACGATGATTATAATTGCTGCAAAGCGGCTCGTCTGTTTCTCGCATGCTGTGTGGGTGTGTGTGTATGCGTATGTATGGGTGGCTGCGCCAACAGAGATAATAATAAAATCATCGAGTCCACGGCTCGCTGCGGTACACATATAGGCATTCGGAATAATAAGGTCCGCACCGAGTCACAGAGACGTGCTCGAAGTAGAATACAAAAAAAAATAAATAAATAAATAAAAATGATATCTTACGAAAACAGAGAGAACATATAAGTTGAAGAAAGCAGGAGAGAGAGAGAGAGAGAGAGAGAGAGAGAGGGAGAGAAGAAAAATGAAGCGCGAAGCGCACGAGGCGAACGTGCCGTAATTCGTATTTCTTATTTTCTTTTTCTTTCGCTGCTGTTTTTGCCTTTTTTCCCTCTTACTTCTGCATGTATATATGGTGCATTATTTCAAAAGCGTGATATGACATGTCTTGTTATCGTAGCTATTAGAAAACTTTTTAAAAAAATGAAAACTAAGACGGTAGAACCTTTTAATTTACAGAATTCTACCTTCCGCAACTATAAAATTTCCATAAATTACGACCACATTGATTTGCCAGCCAGATAAACACACAAAATGTCCCCTCCGTGACCTGTCTTGAACTCAGAATCGATTGTGTTCATTCATTAAACACATTTTTACAAATATCTAGCAATATTGTGGTACATGGGCCTTATTCTATACATCCTAAAGAAAGTTTTTTTGCATCATTCGTCATCTTAAATAGTTTCAAAACAATTGTACATAAGTAACAAATGTGTCCTTAAATTATGTGAAATTTTACATCATTACAAATATAGTGCCAGTAAACGTGTTAGACAGTAATTTTGACCTCTCTAACTATACGAGAGTCATCTTTCAGAACTAAGGTACTCGATTTTTACCCGTAGAATATTCAAATCTTAATTGCAGCTTCGCTACACTGAGAAAAAAAATTCATTGATTCAATGAAACGTTTAATTGAATACAATCTATGAAATAATTCATTCATCCAACAAAATATTTAATTGTTTTCATGAAACTTTGGTAAAAACAATTAAATATTTTGTTGGATGAAATAAAAAAAGATTATTTCAATGAAATTATTTCATAGATTGTATTCAATTAAACGTTTCATTGAATCAATGAATTTTTTTTTCTCAGTGTATAACAATAGACGTAACGAAAATCGTAATAGTAAAATAAAGTGTCCCCTCCGTGATCGACGAGTTTTTGAGCTAGCACATTTTATTTTTGACTCTGGTGGCATAAAAACGTTCGTTTTTACAAACAATTTTTGTGGGTGATCGGAAAAAAAATTTTCAACTTTGTTGTCGTCGTGAAATTTGATAAAAGTGCGATTTGTCCCCTCCGTGAGTGTCCCCTCCGTGACAAATTTTCATGTTTGCAATAAGAAAATAAACGGATTAGATGATGGCCGGCAAAATGTAAATATTCCATGAAAAAACCAAGAATCAAGTGTCAGAAACTACGGGGGTCCGGAAAAATTAAACTCAAAATAAAAGAAAATAAGTTTTTCAATTTTCCCAATATTGCCCATTTTACGCACTACTTTTGAAATAATGCACCATATACTCGCAAACACGGAGCACGGCGAGTGTAAACAGGCACGCTCGGAGCGACGACGACGATCATTGCGCGCACATAGAAGTGCAGAAACAGACACACATGCGCACGCGAGCCGTTATTTTCCTAGTTCACTAACCCAGGCCGGAGAAACAAGCGCAGTTTTCATTTCCTATCAGTTTGGCCTGCCGAGGCTGCGCGCGCGCTTATATGTCGTCGCGTCGACGTATAGCAAATGTATAATACCGTCGCGCGAATGTATTTTATAGGTATATAGGATAGAGACGCAGACATTTCGCTATCGCGCTCGGTGCAGTTTTTCAAGTTGTACGTATACACGATCGACACGCTGCTCGTACGAGGCGCTACAAGAATCTATTACATTGGAAAACGAATGAAAATGTGGCCTTTTGTTTTGCTTTTATTCGTTGTAGTTACTTCTTACGACTTTTCGAAGATTTAACAAAATGAGAAAAATTTTAGTAAGGAATACCGAAAAGTTTCAGTTTAATATTCTGCACCGATGATGAAGAAGAAGAAAAAGAAGAAGAAGAAACGAGGGAGGAAGGAGTGGAATTCCGCGCGACGCGTCGCACGCGAGTAAATAGATCGCGTGTTTTAAAATGTAAATTTTAAAATGCACATACAACACAACACACAACAACTACAAAGCATGTAAACGCTCTCCGCACGAGTCCAAATGTTATAAATGTACCTATTTTATCCTAGACACTTGTATTATTATACCAACGTGACCGCGCGCGTGAAAATCCACGGAGCTGCCTGCTTTCGTGCATTATAATGAGAACCTAAAAAGTAGCGTATACCCGCGCCCGTGTAGTGGTTGTGCTGCTGCACTATATACTATATCGCTGGAAAGCTGAGCCTCTCTCGTATGTACATAACAGTCGCGTTCGCCCACACGTAACGCAATTATTCACAAGTCGATCGTGTCCGCGTTATATTTTATATATTATAAATACGAGAGAAAACAGCGATTATAAGCGACACAACGGCAACGAGAACATCGACGACAACAACAACAAAAAGTAATCCAGACCATAAAATACAAGTTCGTATAATAATGAATTATATGGCGCGCGACGGAAGTTGACTCCCGTCGTCGTTGCTATCCCATGCCAGCACGTGCAGCAGCAGCAGCAAAGAGAGCGAGGAACGCGTGAGAAGAAAACTCTCCACGCAGTTGCGTTGCAGTAATAGGCTGCACACGCACAGACGCGGGGAGTTGCATAAAAAAAAAAAAAAAAAAAAAAAAAAAAAAAAAAAAAAGAAAACAAGAAGAAGAACAGCAGCAGCAGCGCGCGCAGCGCAATAGGGCTCAGGAGTTTACAGTGCCACACGCACAAACACGAGAGTTCTTGAGAACGAGGCGAGCCGTGTGTGTGTGCGCCAAGTTTTTTTGTTGTCGCAAATTGTTGCTGTTGTTATTGTTGATCTTATTCGCGTGCGACGCGATCCTTAATTTTCTACACGCTTATACGCGCGACGCGACAACGTCCATTGAAGCTTTGATTCGAGCCGATGATGCTGCCTGTCGCTGGTTCAAAACCAGCACTAAAGCATGTGTGTCAGTACATCTAATCGTGTGATCCGCGCTCGATGTTGTATGTAGTTTTAAGGAAGTGCAGCAGCAGCAGCAGCAGAGCAGCGACAGTGCAGTTTGATCAATAGTTCACAAGTTAATAAGCTCTACTATAGGTGAGGATTATCCATGCTTTTCATTTATGTATATCGGAAAAGAGTAGTAGAGTACATAGGGAAAAAAGTTTTTTTGCACACTCAAGTTTTAAGCTTAAAAGCACCGTGTGTGCACGGCGCTCTGGTAATGTATAACTTTATTATGCATGTGTAATCGTTTCAGAATACATTATTGTCACGTATCGACGCACGACGACGACGTTATCACAAGTAAAATATGTATAATAATATAAAAATCTGACAAATATAATATATCACGCTATCGAGAGAACATGGAAACAAATAAATGCTCAAAAAATGCACTGTGTGTGTTACAGAATGAATGCAGTCGCGAGATCGTCATCACGATACGTTGGCGAACGCCTGGTACATCAGTACGGGCTCGTTGGCGTTCGTCTTGATGGTCAGCACCTCGCCGGCGGCCAGGAAGACGCTCGTCCCCCGCGCGACGAATCTGTCGCGTCCGTCCACGCGCGCCTCGAGGCAGCCCTGCGCCACCAGCAGTATGCTCGCGCTCGCCCTGGGCCTCGTCGAGTACTCCATATTGTAGGGCAGCGAGATCTTGGCCAGAGCGAAGTCGGGCTCGTCCGGGCGCCAGACCTGCGAGTACTCGTCCTCGGCCTGGGGCTGGAACGTCTTGGCGTCGGCCGGAGCGGAGGCGAACGAGGCCACGTCGACGAGGGTCTCGACGTCGATGAGCTTGGGCGTGAGACCGGCCCTGACGACGTTGTCGCTGCAGGCCATGCACTCGACGCAGTCGCCCGACAGGTAGGCGTGAACCTCGTTGGCGCGCAAGTAGATGGCCTCGCCGGGCTCGAGCACGAGATAGTTCAGGAAGTACACGACGAAGCAGCCGATGTCGCCCGGATAGTCCTCGTGCAGTCGCTCGAACAATTCGGCCTGCAGGACCCGCCTCGATTCCGAATCCTCGCCGGTCAGGCGCGCCAAGAATTTCTTCTGTTCCCGGGCGACGCAGGACTTGTCGTGGCTCATCAAACTGGCGAAGCATCGCCTCAGAGCTTGGCGCTGAGTGTCCTCGTCGCTGCTCGACAGCAGAGCCTCGAGCTCGCTGCTGCTGCTGCCGCTGCCTGGGTCATCGGCAGCGATGCAGGCGCGCAGCTCCGGTATCGACTTGACGTAGCTCTGGATCTCGGCGATCGGCCGAAAGCCGCACAGGGCTTCGAACCTCGTGAGCGCGACCGCGAGCTCGGGCTTGTGATTCGGATCTTTGTAGACGTTGGGCCGCGCGGCGTGCAGCGCCTCGGCCTGCTTCTTGTTCGGGTGCACCTGGATCGACAGCGCCTTGTCCACGGACAGCACCTTGAAGAGATAGGGCAGCTGTTCCGTGTCGCCGAACTCGCGCACGCACGCCTCGCCGAGGATCTTCGCGGGCCCGTTGCTCGCGATGTACTCGGACAGCTTGACGTTGGTCGCCTTGCAAGTGGCGGGTCCGCTCGGATGGGTGCCCATCCACAGCTCGGCGTAGCGCTCGTCTAGCTTCGGCGTGAACTCCGGATCGCTCGACTCCAGGAGCTCGGCGATTATGCTGTGGCTGCCGCGCTTGCCCCACGCGTAATTCTGCACGCTGCATTGTAATTCCATAATTGCTCGAGATCCCGAGCGAGTGCTTGCGTGCGTGCTTGCGTGTGTACACGAGAGAGTGAGTGCGTTTTATCGTGGCCTAGTAGTAGTGTCTCGACGGCCGATTTTTTCTTTTTTGATACACGCAGAGGGAGGCAAAGGAGAGAAAGAGAGATTATCGGACGTCTGAAAACAAAGTACGGAGAGCTTGCGTGAGCTTTTCTTTTTATTGAAAAAAAAATATCGAGCGAAGTTTGCAGGTTTATAGGGAGGAGAGAGAGAGGGAGAAAAAATTTCGATAGACATGATACGTAGGCAGTTTTGTGAGAGCAATTTTTCAAACATACAATAGATAGCGATATATAAAAAAAAAAGTATATACATGGTTACGATGAGAGAGGATGGAAATTTTATTTCGATCGAAGGAAAAAAAGCTCGATTATTGTGGTGCGTGAAGTTTTATGTAATATATGTTTGCATGCGGTTTCGAGTTTGATCGAGTTTTTCTTATAGTTTGCTGATGCAGTTATCGCTGGTATATGGAACGTGCGGTATAAATGTAAGCGAATAAAATAGTTACACTTTCCCAAATGAGTCTCGGGTTCTCGCACATGCACACACACGTGTATTTTATCTCTCTCTCTCTCTCTTCCTCTCTCACACACAGAGATGATGGCGAGTATAATTTCAGCGCGACAAGAATACAAAAAAAAAGGTGTTCAAAATGTATGCAACGAACAGTGGGGTCTCTCTCTCTTCTCTCTTCTGTCTCTCTCTCTCTCTCTTTGAATGCGCGCGCTTGTAATATGTATGTAATATCGAGGAAAGGCAAAATACTTGCTTATATACAGCGCAGGACATGCGTCTTATTCTCACGAGAGCTTCGTATACTCGCTACTGTGTACCGTCTGCATTTTTACGCTCTTCTCTTTTTTCTCCCCTTTCTCTCTCTCTCTCTCTCCTGCGTTATGGACAAGTATTAGTAAGCGCATGCATATACGAGACAAAATATGTACATCTGCTAATACCGCGCGCGTAACTGCAGAAGTTTCGTACTTTTGTTTCTTTTATTTATTCTACGTACGTAATGCATATCGGTTTTATTTATGGCCGCGTGCGCGTAACGGGGCTCTTTTTTATTTATTAAAAAACGCATGTCCATCACATCACACAAGCTGCTGCTGGAAAATCGCGCATTTAATTAAGTTTTTATTTTTATAACAAGAAACATCTCTCTCTCTCTCTCTCTCTCTACACTACGCGATACGTGATTTCGCATTTTATAATCCATAAAATTATTGAGAAATTATCGGAGCGCGAGTAGTCGCGTTCAATACGTCGCTACGTGGCATATAACGAACGAACGAGCTGCGCTTACGTATACACGTTTCAGCGTCAGTAAAAAAAAAAGGAGGTGAAAATCAAGGTAGGTGCTATATTAACGCGCGGCATTAATTCAAAACGTTTCGCTCAACTTTAAACCGTAGCCTGGCAGCAGCAAAGCACACGTCTCTCTCTATACGCGCACCTCTTATACATGTGTGCACATACACGCGCGCGCGCGCGCGTGTCACGGCAGTAGTTGAAGCGTTTTCCGATTCATATATTTCACGAGAGTATGTTTTAGCGTTCGCGAGCTCTGCAGCACATACGAGTTATAAATTCCTTGACACCTGTGCAGCTGATGCTGCTGCTGCTGCTACCTACCGCTACTATGTATTAATGTATGCACGCGATATCGCTCTCCCACATATATACGAGAGAACTGCCTAGTAGTATAGAGGTTCGGGTGAAAGTCGCATCGCCGTCTTCCTCCGCACGCGCTACCACTCCGGATTTTCCGCGCGCGATATAGCGACAAATGTGAAAATTAAAAAGCTCCACGAGCGAGCGCGAAATCATTATTATATATATTATACACCGCGTGTCCTGTGCGTCGACGACGACGACGACGACGACGACGACGACGTTTTATATTAATATTTTATCTCTATCTCGTGTGTGTCGTTGCACATAGGAGAGCGCGTAAAAGTAGCCACTGACATCGCTACTGCTGTCGCCTGGCTGCTTTGCGTGTGCAGAAAGGTATCAAATCTAATAACGGGGCTAGCTAGCGCGTATACGGCGTTTCCTTCTCTAAACTGGTTATACTCTGCGCTCGTGTGTGTGTGTATACACTGACGCGAAAAATTTATATATCACGTGTATGAACGCAGGCTTTTATGTCGTGTGTGGCTCTTCTCTCCCTTCGGTGGCGTTTACACCACACGTAGAGATTCTCCGTCGCTGCAATAAATAATCGACCAATTATTCAACTCGAAAGCTCTCTGATGAAAAAAAAAAAAACATTACTAACGGTGTATGACTCGCTTTTTTGCAATATTTTTCATTCCAGGACATCGAAGGCACTCATCAGCTCGGAAAACCGTGTTTATAGACGCGCCTTAAACACACGGTTCGTGTAAAAAAATGTCCGCGTATACCGACTCGAGGTCTTTCATATACGCGAGTGCAAGCTTCAAGTCAGGTGGCGCTGCTCACGTGCACCTCCTCGTCGTCGTCGTCGTCATAATAATCGCAAGTGCAGAGCCGAGCGATAAGCTTGCAGTTAATAAAACGTGTACGTATAGCACACGATCGTCATAACGGTGTCACCAATTTTTTTTTATTATTTCTTTTTTCTTACACATTTCGCGTTTGAAATGAACATGTATGTAAACGTACGCGCGATCGCTTCGTCTATATACCACTACTTTCCGTTCTCTCCGCGTGGCATGGACACGTTATAGCGCGCGGCTAAATAGTCCGTTAAGCTGCAGGTATGCAGCAGTGTACTTTCGTCGGTCGGCCAACCGGTTCGTCATTTTTAATCCTATTGCTTATACACCGTAAGTGTTGCTGCTGCATATGTATGTATATAACTTGGCCTCCGCAGCACACACACACACACACACACGTTGTATGTTCGGTTTTTATAGGTCGCGCAGCAACAGCAGCAGCAGCACACACAAATTTTAAGGACTCTGAAAGTTCAGCGCTTATAAGTATAAGCAGCAGGGCTAAATTTAATGGCACCGGTTTTCATTTCGACGACCACAACGATTTCAAAGAGTCGCCTCTCGGCAGCAGCGAGATAGAGAGAGAGAGAGAGAGAGAGCTAGGCTGCTACTGCTGCTTGCTCTAAATTTAGTCGTTAAAAAAAAAAAAAAAAAGAAGAAGAAAAGAAAAGAAGTGCCTCGTCGCTCGCGATAAAAAACATATTTACACCTTTAAAAAAGAGATGGACGCGCACGACGCACATTACGTACGCAAATTCAGAATCTTCAACTCTTTAATTACGCGAAAATAAGGGAAAAAAAGAAGTCTCGAAACCGCAGCGCGCGTGTGCGTGTATTCAAAATCAGCACCGGAGTAGGAGCAGTAAAAGCAGTCGTCGCAAGCAACGCGCGGCGGGCTACGTATACAGCAGGGCATTCATTGAAAAACTTTTTTTTCCCTTTCTCTCTTTGTGTCTGAGCCTCTTCCGTTTATGCAGCCAGCAGCAGCGAGGCAACATCTGAATAAGCGGAGAGAGAGAGAGAGAGACGCAAAAGACGCGACAATCAATACGGGCGCTCACGGTCTTTTTTTTTTGCTCTCGTTGTATGCGTATGTGCATGTAACACACACGAAGCTTTTAATTCACACACGTACATCGAACGAAAATACACGTGCGGTACACAGCTCTCGTTATGGCGTAACGAGAGGCCTTACGCGTGAAATAACGCGCATGAGATTATCCGTTGCTTCTTTTTTGTCACTCAACAATTATAGAACGGCCGCATGCGGCATTTCAGAGTCGCGTGTATATAACTCCGACTTGAACACGAGTCGAAGTGGACTCTTGCCGCGCGCATAGCGCAAAAGTTTTCGATACAACAACGATATGTAAATCCTTGCAGAGTCGACGTTATAATACGCCCCACTCGCGTGGGTGCTTTGTCGTCTAGTTGGAAAAAAAAAATGCCAATTGTCATTTAAATGGTGTCTCTCTACCGAGCGACGCATGATTTTTTTCGCAGTTACGTGCACGAGCGCGCGTGTGCATGGACGTCAAATGTATACGCAACGCACAGAAGACGCAAATCATAACCGAACCGGCGTCGAAAGACGTGTTTGTGTATGTGCTCTGTATTGTATACGAGAGGCATAGCTCTAAATCGATTCTGCCATTTCTGCTGCTGCTGCTGCTGCTGCTCTGTGTGTATGTATTGCATACGGCGTGGTGCGCGCGCGCCCATGTATGTGTTTTATACGCGCGCGCGCGTGTGTGTGTGTGCACAAAACCGTGTGCCGTCTCGCGATATCGGCAACAGCGCACCGTGCTCCGACTGCACAGCAGAGAAAGAGGGAGAGAGATATCCATACACAGCAGCAGAGTCAGTGGTTTGAGGTTATAGAACCCTCGTCGGTCGGCGCAAGACTCTCTGCTGCTCTGAAACGCCGCCGCGTGCATTACACCACGATGCTGCGGCAGCACGAGTGCACAAATGCACATTGCACACATGCATATCGTGTATACGCGCATCGCTCGATGCATACATTTGTAGACGCGTTGTACAACACGATAAAGTTGTGTCGTCTCGCTGGCGAGAGGCGCGCATGATACACAAAAACAAAAACATCGTATTATCCGCGCGTCTCGAGATGACAGCTGCGCCAACAACACAGCACGTGCCTACAGTAGTATATAACAGCATAATCGTAGTAGGCAGGCAGGCAGCAGCAGCACGTGCGTATAATAAGTAGTGTATACCGGTGTTATACGTATACTCGTGTGTATAAGTATCGTGATCGCAGGCTACAGACGATTACAGCAAAAGCCGCAGTTGTAGTAGTGGCTGGTTATTAATAAAAACGATGGTCGCGATTCGCACGAGGGGCTATTTAATGTAGGTACGAAAGCGCGACACGTGCAGACGAAAAGTTTGTTGTATATTATAATACATATATACGCTTTTGGAGGCGAGAGTTAGAATAGAGAGAGAAGCGCAGCAGCAGTAGCGGTGTCAGGCCGCAGAGTTTTAAAGCCAACTCTCGGAGGCACAGAGCATCGATCGTTTTCAGAGAGCGAGAGGGAGAGAGACTGAAAAGACTATATAAGCACGTATATAATACTGCTAAACGGAGCTTCGTCGTCTGCGGCAGCGGTGGTAGGCAGCAGCAGCAGCAGCACGAGGCCTATTAAAGAAGCGTGAAACGGTCGACCGAAAACTTTATAATTATGAGTATGTGCACCGCTACTGCATAGTTTTTCAACTCAACTGCATATTCCGACACTAGCTCTCTGAAGTATATACAAATGCTTATAATCCTTTGAGACCCAGTACATAATATTGTATTAAAATGATAATATGCAAAATATGGGATGAAATAGGTGCCGCGATGCAAAGACGACGTGCGGTGCGGTACACACACGGCTGTTTCGCTCTCTCTCTCTCTCTCTCTCTCTCTCGGCGTTAGATTCACATAGTGTATTATATAGCAGCACAACTATTATGTGTGCGCGTATACTGCATTGTATGTACACACACACATATATATGTGCCTACGTATTACGTAATGAACTAGTAAGACCGTTTAATTGCACACGATTATGCATTCGCCGCGACTATACTAGCAGCGAAAAGCCTGTCTCGCCCCTGTGTGTCGCTGCTTGTGGAGTAGGCATGCATTATATTATACGGCGCACGGAGCACAATATATACATAGACATTTGCGCATTGTGATGTAGGTATAGGTAGGCAGGCTGGGCTGTGTATAGAGAGAGAGAGAGAGAGAGAGAGAGAGAAGCGACGACGAGCATGTGTGCGTGGGTACTACACACGTATAATATACTACTACTACGCGAAGTACATGTACGTATACGATACGAAGCCGGCAAAGCAGCAGCACATAGAGCGAGAACGCGGAGCGCGAATGTAGCGTGGCGTGGGCTTCGGCCATTAGGCAGTCGCGCGATCCGTCCATGTGTGTGTGATACTAACGTTATAGGCATACACACATGTGCGTCTGTGTACAAATATGTATATATGTATCGGTGCATGATCAGTATATGAGAAAGAGAGCTCAAAGCCGTAAACACAATGCCGTGCGTTTGCGCGAGCCTCGGATGTGTGCACGTGTATTGGTGTGGCTACGGCGCGACATAACCCAACAGTTATACATACGTACGCATCGAAAGATGAAGCGAGAGAATATATACCGATGCTGAAGCCGTAGCAGCAGCAGAGTTGATATGCGCTATCCAACGCACACACACACACACAGTTGTACTCATGCACGCAGACGCGTCGCCGCTAGATTCTCTGCGATCCATGCATATATTTGTTGTAAATGACGCGCAGCAGACGCGCAAAGCAGATGATAATTTATACAGAGAGAGAGACAGAGCTACATTCAAAGTATAATGCGATATATAGGAAAAATAGGAAAAAGAACGAGGCAATGTGTGTGACAAAGGCTTTTTTTTTGTTGGTATTTACCTATTGAATGGTGGTTGTTGGTTGGTTGGTTATGGATGGCGTGGTGAGATTCGGAGATATATAAGGTGGTGTTTTACAGGTTGGTCTTCGCTGGCGTGTTCGACTATATCCTCTTTTTTTCGATATTATTGTGCGAGCGAACGACGACGGCGACGGAGCGTGGTTACAAACTTGTACTCTCGCTCGGAAGCTCGGTCGCTTTTAAGACAACACAAAGCACACGCACGCACACACAGACAGACAGACAGAGAGATTAACACGGAGAACCCACACAGGGGGGGGTTCGGTAATGTAATATATAATAATAATACAATATGTGTGTTTGTATGAATATTGCACGCACACGTTTCACCGCGACAGCACACCGACTTGGACTGAGAGCCGTGAGTTTTTCGGACATAAAATATACGCGTTCTGCGCAGTGTGTATTACGCTTACAGTTGAGTCGCGAGTCTGCTGCGACGGCCGACGACGACTATTATATGGACAAAAACGTTCTCCCTCTCTTTCTAGCTCGTATATATGACAGTATCAGCGCAGCACAGCAGCGGCTAAAGAGAGAGAGAGAGAATCGGACCGACTTTTGGTACTCGCGCAGCACCATAGGTGGCCTCGGCGTCGCGGGAATTTCGATTCGACTGCAGCGTGCGTGCTTTTTATACAAGTATCGCATTGTCGATATATTTACTTTCGATAGGTGCATAATATTTATTATGTACCATTTGGATTTATCGGAATTTCAACTTGTTCTTTATTTTTTTTTTCTGTTATCCCATCGAGCGTAGATAATAAATTTCATCGCTCGCTATTCAGCGTTTATATTTCATGCGAAAAAAAATTCTTCGAATGCACACAAACACACACACACACTCTATGTAATATCTCTCCGTGGTGGCATGCAGCACAGCTCGATAAAAATATAATAACGCGACGCTCGCGTTTGCGGCTATCGCATTTATGTATACGGCTTTGTTGCGAGCGTGTGTGCGTGAATTTCAGGATAATCGTCACTTGAAAAAAGCGGGAGATAATAAGCTCGGATACGACTTTTTCGTGTTGGTTTTTTTTTTCAATGTGCGAGTTGAAAGAATAGACCGGTATGCTCATCAAATATTCGTGAAATTTACCTTTGACTCGGACCTTCGACGTCATTAAAGTCAAAATAAATTAGAATAAAGAGTGCCGTGTTAGAAATTCGTAATACAACTAAAACTACGATTCGCTCAATTTCTATTTTAATTAGCTCGAAATTGAAATTTTGAAACAATTCGTTCGAGCATTCATTTCCGGCTTCTAATACCAGGTTTAACATTCGCCGACGATAACGTGGCCTCATGTGCGTGCGCAAAAAGCGGCATCGCGCAAACTTCTCTCTCTTGCGCGCACACAGAGTCAAGTTTTTTACTCTTTCTTCAACTCGGGACTGTGTCTCTTATGTATACACAAGAGTATAATACAATCGATTCTCATCGTGTGCCTTGTGAATCGTACCGCGTATATTTATAGAACGAAAAGATAATGTAAAATTTATAATAGCAACGTACTTTTTTTGCTTTGCTGCACTTTTGCGGGCCGCTGCAACGGAGGCAAGAGACAGAGAGAGAGAGAGAGAGACGAATTATATGTTGTCGAATTAGTGCGTCGACTTTCTGCCAGAGGGCAATGCGCTTTGCACTTAACAGCAGCAGGCCAACGTTTTCACGTTGAGCTTGGAGTTTTGTTATTGTGTTGTTTTTTTTTTCCTTTCTTTACAATTTGCAAACCATGTACTCTGTGCACACAAGCTCTCAATGCTGCATCATCAAGAATCACACTTTGTTTGTTGTTGTTGCTTCAATTTTTTCCCCTCTTTCTTCTGCCGCTTTTCACACTGTGTGCAAATCGAGCGCGAGAGAATGACAATTTTCAATTTTTTATTACACACGTTTTACACGATGTTTTTCGCTGCCGTTGTTGTTGTTTTTGTTGTTGTTGCTGTTGTTGATGCCTTCTGAGAGAGAGACAAAAAATCGTCGTCGCTGCGCAGGTACGGGTATTCAAAACTCGCTCATAAATTTTATATATGCGTCACGCACACGGCCGCCGTCGCTCAAGAGTAGCAGTAGTAGCAGTAGTAGTTGACACTTTAATTATTTATTTATTTTGCATATATTGATGTATGCAATATTATATTTTATTTTTATAATAATGCAGCGAGACTCGCACGCACCACTTCGTCGATCGTATTAACGTTGCGTTTATGTGTATATTTGTATATATATTATGATATATACGGATACGAGCGGGTACTCTACACGTTACAAGTGCACGACGGGTACTGGGGGATAGAGACGCGCAGAACTGCTGTGTCGGCCAGAGAATCTCTCTCTCTCTCGTACTATATAGTGTATATATAGTAGGCAACGCGCGCACAGAGAGTCGCAGTGGAGTTGCGGAGCGAGAGAGAGAGAGAGAGAGAGAGAGAAGTGCATGCATGTATGTATACGTATATACACGCGCATACAATTGCACACACACACACATACACACGCAGAGCGAGAGAGAGAGAGAATAGGTGTATATACCTATCGTGCCGCTTATGCGCCCAGTAGCAGTCTAGCAGCAAAAAGAAGGGGTGGGAATTGAAGAGAGAGAGACGGAGAGGCTGCGTGCGCGCCTGCGCTCAGGACTGCAGCGTATACGTGCATGTATATAACGCGACGTTTGTTGCCGACGACGACGACTATTATATAGCCTCTCTCTCTCTCTCTCTCTGTACTTTGCACTAAGGTAAAATACGGTTCTATATGTATGTGTGTGCATATATAGCTATGACCGTCGGGAAACGGAAGCCTCGGGAACAACGACGACGACGACGACGACGACGATCGGTGTTGGTGGTGGTGCTCATAGCAGCAGCTCATCAACGAGCTGCAAGAGCTAAATGATCATTTTCTTCGACATCCCGTTGCCGGATTTCGATTGCGTCAAAATTTGCAGGATTTTTACTTTATTATTATTTTTCTTTCTTTTTCGTGGTAAGATAATGACTTTTGCACAGCGACAGAAATGAATATCAAAATTGGAAACGATGAACATTCGATGCAGTTGGGAAAAAAAATGATAATGATGCTAAACTGAGAAAGAACTCGCTTAACAAATTTAATTATATACTACGTATTTACCGGCGTAAAATAGAAGAGGAAAAAATTCGCGGCTTTAAACTTTTTTCTATTTTTACTCAAGGAGATGACGAGGCAGGTGGTGGTGCGCGCGGGAGAGAATAAAAATTCTTTGAACGTGATATTAGCAATTTTTAAGGGATATACTTTTTCAAAAGCTCTCTTGCTGCGTGAAGGATTTAATTTTTTTTCGTCTTTTCTCTGCCCCAAGAAGTTTTAAAAAAACATTTATTTTTCATATAATCTGTAAAAATTAAAAGTAAACGCGATTGTAAATATTTTCATTTTTGCTCGGTGTCTTTCTGCCTCGAGATTCACCCAACGCGAATACAACATTTATGCACGAGCGTTAATCGACTTTTATGTGACGCCTAAAAAAAAGCTCGAGCTTACTGTGTTGCATGAAGAACATGAATTACGCAAACTTTTCGGTACCGTATGCACGGCGCACGCATATAAGTAAGCGAAAAAAGACAGTGATGTATATTTTCCATAATAACTATGTTTTTATATGCATTAAATTAGTACAGTCGAGTTAAAAAGCTCAAGCAGGCGAGCGACAGTCAGATTGAAAAAAAAAAACACTTGAAAAAAAATACGGACTTTGAATAATAAATTCTTGAAGAGAAGCAAGACCAAAAGAGGTGAGATAGGAATAGAGAGAGACTTAGTCGAGCATAAATTTTGTACACACAACACTCCGTACATATAGTACGTACGGACGGTGCAAAAGCGTCTCGTGCAGTTTATGCATGCCCGGTAAATGAAGAAAAGAGGCGAGCTTTTAAAAGCTCACGGTAATTTTTGTGCGATTCGCACAAATATAGGCGTGTACATGTACTCGAAGCAGCAGCAGCAGCAGCATCCAATTGCCATACGTCACCGAGGAGAAGAGATCGAGTTGATTTATATCGACGCGTTCGCGCGCATCTATAGCGGAGATATTTCGCGCGCGCGCTGACATTTTCAAAGCGGCAGCAGCAGCTTGATTATATATCGTCGAAGAAATTCGAGCGCACGCGCGAATTTCGGACTTTTTCACTCTCTGCGATTCTCGCTGCTCTGCTAATGATTAATCGGAAATTAACTTTGCTTTCCCCGCCCGGGGATCTGCTTGCGATACGAAGTTCGCGCGCAAGCACAATCACTTTGACAGGATAAAAGCTCTCAACTAGTTAATAACAATGTCGCTTTTGATAAAAGTATGTATAAAACTCGCGACAGTAATACGAAACTGCTCTGCGACAATTAAATGTATCTCTGCGTCTCTCGTATTTTCTAAGCCAATTAACTCGGAAACTGCGATGGGTTTTAAGCAGTATACAGACGCCCAACTACAGCAGTCGTATGTATACCACAGGGTTTGTTTTTGACCTCCGTTTGTACGCGTGTGTATTCGTCCTACATATTATACTTCGAGATTCTCCTCTCGGTGCGTTTGTTTTTCCTTCAACTTTTCCAACATTCGTATAAATACCTCAAAATGCCCGTGCACAGGGGCTGTATATTTATACGCTGGCCAGGAGTCATATTTTTCCCGCACAAATGTTTAGACAGTATAAATAAAAATAACCTCCTTCAGCATTCGCATGCGTATGTAATATACCTTCCTCGCCGCAGATAGCGGTAATACGTAGCCTTAGTATTTAAAGGGTTATTTTGACCGAAATATCGCTATGCACGGTCGCGCATGGCACATGTCTGCAGCTTTCATATGTATGCATGGTACATAAGGGCGAATTTACATTGATATTTATTACAGTTCTCGAAATTGTATATGCATTCGTATACATATGTATCTACGACGCCAACCCTTTCTCCCATAGGAGTGCAGTGGTGTGTATCACTACTGAGAGAGGGAGAGAGAGCAAAAACTTTTGGTTTATGCAGTGCCAGCTAGCTAGCTGCTGCACACGTAATTATTCAATGCCTTTTAACTCCCATCTTGGAGTACAAAATTAATTGCGATTTTTATTCGATGTCGTGCATAGGCCATTACGCGCGGCGTAATTTCGTATGCGTGTACGACTGTGTACGAGTGTGTGTATGTATAGGGGATGGAAAGAGGAGAGAGGAGTGATTTCGTGTTAATCGAGTGGTGGTATTGGTTTTCGATATACCTAAAATACTTCTCGTCGACACGTATCGGACCCAACGACGCCTTTTTTCTCTTCTTTTCTCTCTGTCGCGAAGCACACACGTGCGCCTATGCGTGCACATATGGGCAAATCCAAAAAAATCGTGGCCATTTTATAGTTGGTTCATAAACGAAAAGGACCGTTAAAACTGGATACATGTCTGACCAAACCACTTTCAATAGTTATTCTGAATGCAATTTCAATGTAAAATGTTAATTAAAATGAATTTGTCGATTTGATTTTAATGAAATGGATCTAACTATAACGCAATTGTTATTAATGCGGTTTTTATTTTCTAAACCAACCTTTAGTATGTGCATTGGCCTTTGAAATTATTCTATGAGTTATACAATTATATTTACTTTGACACTAACAGTTCAGTTTAACAACATAACTCGTATACCTAAATATCTAGGATGCAAACTAATAATTTACAAACTTTTCTTAAAACCTCGATTTGACTTATACAATTATTTTTACTTTTCTACTTGCAGATTTACATATATAGGTACTCGCCACCTAGCGGTGAGGATTGGCTTTAATCAAGATTTCGAGCAATTGACGCAAAGGATAAATCGGTATCAAAACATGAACTCTTAAACAAAATTTTTCAAGTTAGGTAAAGCATCGAATCTTTTCTGTTAACTTTTGACTTGATAAATAATATATCTTATTGAATTTTCTTACACTTTATGCGTAGTTTATGCAACGAGAAACATCAACACTGATTCATTAATTTTAAACCATAACTTTACGTCTGATTTTACATTAATACTGCATTAAATTAAACAGTTTTTTAACATCGTACACATAACTATGTGTATTTTCTCTATGTATGATAAATTCCAAGTACGAAGTTACAGTGACGTATAGGCAAGCACGAAGACACTCCAAAAATCAACCGAACTTGTGCCATACACCACACGGTACATCACAAAGCGGTTTTTTCGGATTTACCCATAAACACACGTATTTAATTCGTACCTCTCATCGACTAAATACATTTTCCTACGCACTGCAGCTTGATATATACTTATACATAACATCGTGTATAAGAGAGTCCGGGTGCAGCAGCAGCAGGTCGAGGGGCTATAGTCAGCAAAATTTAATTATCAATTATTCAAGCGTGGGAGGAAGGACGCGGGGCCGCAGCTACGCGCGTCACGTGACCAGCAGCAGCAGCAGCAGCAGCAGCAGCAAAAGTAATTATCGGAAATACATTTTACGATACATCAACCGCGCGCTATCTATAGATGCGAGACTTCATATATATTTATATTTATATAATAAATCAACTAATGCGTATATATATCTAACATTGAGGAAAGGTCCACGCGCGACCACCTCGCCTCGTCTTTTCTCGATTTCCTCGCGCAAAATATACATCATCGTTATATAAGTGCTGCTCTCAATTTTAAATCTCTCGAAACTTAATTGTATGAATAAACGATTCTCCTGCAATCGCGGGCCGCGCTCTAACTATATACAGTAATATCGATGCCTCTAGGTGTTTCTGGACGTGTGTGCGTGAGTGTGTGTATACACGAACTGTGCGATGGAAAAGCATTAAACATGCATGCACGTACACTCCTCACCTCTCTCTCTCTCTCTCTTTTATGAGCTAGCCAGGCGTAAGCTTGATTTTGCAGCTCATGCATGATGCATGTATCAAACTACGTTTTCAAGCTAGAGAGAGAGAGAGAGAGTGAACTGCACATCGATCTATATATTGCCATGCCGATGCTTCCTTTTTTCTCTCTACCTATCTCTCTCTAGCGAAGGTTAGCAGCTAGCTAGGTAGATAATACATATAATATTTTTAGACATGGATACTTCTCTCTCTGGCCACTTCTAGCGTACGTAATGCACTCCGAGAGAGAACGAGAGAAATGGAGAGTAATGCGCAGGACGTAATCGACCGCCGATAATATAAGCTCTCTCTCTCTCTCTCTCTCTCTCTCTCTCTCTCTCTCTCTCTCTCTCTCTCCTATTGACTTGGATGCTCGAC